CACTGCGAGCAGCCCCATGTGGCTTGTTTTGCCAGATTGGGATAGTCTAGAGAAGAGAGACAGATGACCTCAAAGCTCAGAGTGAGTCCAACTACTGTCCCTTGCCTGCCTTTCTCTTCCTGGAGGTGAATCAAGCCAATTGTTAGGGCCAGTCTCACAGCTGCTGCTGCTAAAGTAGTCAATGGTTGGAAGGGTCTAGAGAAGGAACTAGAATTAGTTGATGGTATGGCTCTTCTGGCTCCCTCATGTTCCTCTGTACCAAAAAGTAAAAAACACAGACTTCTGAAATACCAAGAAGGAAGTAGGGCCCCAGCCTTGCTCAAATGGCAGGGCTTCAGAGAACAGCAAAAATGAACTGCTGTCTCAGGACCTCATATAGTTAGTTCTCAAGCAAGCACAGTACTAGGCTCTCTAGCCCCTGCCTTGGGACTCCTTACCACATTGGCTTCCATTCCTGATGTTTCAGCCAGCTTCTGCACCTGAAGGACAAGGCACCCACAGGGAAAGCTGGAGGTGTGACTTCTTCATATCAGGCCATTTCCAGGAGCATGAGATTTCCTTTCCTGTGAAACAACCCCCAGTGGCCACAAAATGGGTCTCTGCAGAGCCATCACCAACACCAGCATGTTTAAAGGATGAAAGCTAGCTCAAGAGGCTGCCCTTCTTTGTCCCTGGCTTTTCTAAACCCAGACCCATTACAAGCTATGTTTCAGACCTGCTGAGAATGCTTGACCAACCCTGGGAAACTTCCAGGCTCTAAGGTTAACCGAGGCAACGCCTCCAAGATGCAGCTAGAACACAACTAGCTTTTGGTGGTTACAAAGCTCAAAGCAGAGCAAAACCAAGAATGTCAACCAAACCTAAGCATTTATTCTTGAAAATTCAAGTGGGTAAGAAAGACTCAACAGCCAGCTCATGCTAATTTCAGTCTACTAGGCTATGGGGAAAAGAGCTTTAAGTGGTTGTAATGCATCACCCCACCCCCAACTGCAAACATTCTGTCACAGAACCACACCTCCAGCCCCAAGAGCTTTTTCCTTTTCTGCCTTACTGTGTCTTGTAATGCTTTGGATGTTGCTTTCTTCATTGGTAAAATGGAGAAAGATAAAGTTGCCACTCTAGGCTACCCTAAAGGTCAGTGAAATTGGGTGGGTAAAGTGCTTAACAAAATTTAAAATAAGACAGTTACTCCTGAATTTTGAAAATTTATTTATAAGGTTACTATTCAAAGCAACACTCCTGACTGTAGCCTTCACAGTGCCCTGGCATGGAGGTTCAATCAGTGAGCTTTATGTCCATCAAACACAAAATACCCACTAGTCCCAGGCATTTGTGCTTTTAAGAAACTCAAGTCCAACAGGGCAGGACCTGGACACATTTTTCTATGAAAGGCTGGGCATCATTACAAGGCACACTAGGCAGGTGGACATACCAGGTGACTGCAGGGCCCCATGGTGAGTCTGGAGAGAATACGAAAGTGAAAGACTTCTAAAGAGGACAGAGCATCCCAAGAGACTGCAAAAGGCAGACCAGAGTTCTCATCATGAGGGTTTGCAATTCCCATGTGAGAAGTCGGGGAACCTAGGTCTGGCTCTCAACAGTGAGGAGATGAACTGGATGGACTGTATCTCTTAAGGGAGAGTTGGAGTTCCTTTCCTGCCTTAAGAGAGTTGTCATGATATACATGGAGAGGGAAGGACTTGTCTGGCCAGTCACCAAGTGGCCGTTCAGTGGACAGTGTCTAAAGTCTGGTCTAGGTTCTGATATGTGCAGCCCTGTTCAAGCCTACAAAGTCCCTGTATGCCAGACATCTTCCTAAATGCCACTTAACTGTGCTGCTCCTGCCATTATGCCCTCTCCTGTCCTGCTTCATTTCCAAAGACTCCGACCGAATCTAAACCTCTGGTGACAGCATTTTAACAAGCTGCCTGTTCTATTGCTCGGGTGTTTAAATCAACTCTCTCAGACTCCACAGTCCTGCCAGCAGGGCGTACCCCATCTTCCGGCTCTCTCCAGACCAAGCTCTGATGCCGTTTGGCAAGTACAAGATTTGAGGCCATACTCCCTCCCTAGTCTTTGGCTGGGGCCACGCTACCAGCTCCCAACACGCCTTTTCGGTGCCCCAGTCTATACCAACTGCCTCTGTGGGACCCAACAAAACCTTTCCTTATCCAGGTCATCCCAGAACTCTGTTCATTCATCACTGTCCCTGGCAGCTTTGGTCCTCAGTTCACTCCGTAGCAGCTTAGATCGCCTTCCGAGGCTGTTCAAAACAGACATGGAAGTAACCAAACAGCCCACATCCCGGCCGCTGTCAGCCACTGTAAGCGCTCGGCTCTCTTTTAAGAGACCGCTGTGGGCGACACTTAGCTTCGAGGCCCCGCCCCCCGCGTGCCCGCTAGCCGCTCTTGCCCGTTCCGCAGACCCGGGTCGTCACCATGGCGCGGCCGCAGCCCCTCCTGCGCTGGCCGTGCACGCGTCTTTACGGGCGGTCTCTCGGCAGACCCTCTCTGCTCCGAGAAGGGACTCGACCCGGCAGTCCTGGGCCAGGAGAAACTTTTGCCCAGAGGTGCCCGGCGGACGCCTGGGCAGAGCGCGCGAGGGTCTCACGAAGCGCAAACGGCCCGCCAGATGCAGCACCTTGCGCCCTCAACGACGAGTCCCCACCCCCGCGACGGCGACCCGGCCCGGGCCAAGGTCGGCCAAGTTCTTACCGCGCGTCCAGCGGCCCTTGGACCCACGGGCCGGGCCGGAGCGCGCGGTAGCCTCCAGTCCGGCGTAGGTCCCAGAAACGCCGCGCGGCCCGGGCCTCTCGCGCTCCAACGGCTGGGTCGACCCCAACCGCTGGGTGACTTGGCCAGCAACTACGCCTCGGGACCAGTGTCCTCACTAAGGGGGGCAGACAGCCGCGACTCCCGCGAGAACTTGCACAGGAATAGGGGACGTGTGCTCCCCTGCACCGGGACGGAGACGCCGCTGACGCACCGGGGCGCTCACCGAGCCCGCCTCCTGCGGTACCCCGCACCGGGCTCACCTCAGATCCGAGCTTCAGACTCACCTCAGCCCCTCCTACCACAGCGGGCGGCCAAGCCTCAAGCGTCCTCACTTCCGCTGACCCGCCTCCGGAAGCAATCATTTGCAGCTGCGCGGCAAGCCACACGCCCAGGAGAGGCGGGCCTAGCAAGGAGCGGAACGGACGCGGGCTCTGAGTGGACGGCGTACTGCCAGGAGGCCACACCCCTCCCTAGGCCACGCCCTCTTCCCGGGGAGGCCTTAGGGCACTGGTTCTGTGCTTCCATCCGTTGGAGTTTCCTTCCATGTTTGGTTTCTGCCGTGGGAGTTTTTTCCCGTGTTTAGTGTCAACAGACTTCTGGAAAGCGATAGTCTGCCAGTGTTGCTGCTCAGCACCGAAAATAGCTGATGCTGTCCCTACTCCTGCTGCAGGTCTCCGAATCCTCTCATCTTGGCATTTCAGCCTTTCCTGTCTTGTCTGGACTCTCATCCCATTTCATGCTTCCCAGACACAACCCCTAGCAAAAATGGCTGCCTTCTCCTTTGAGGCGTGCCCTCCAGTGCTTCGGAGTAGCTGTCTTCTATTTAAAAGCTCGCAATCTCACACACGCACATACCCATACACACGTGTGCAACATAACTTAGTCTGTAAATTAGACGGGTGGATTGATGACACTCGGAGACTCCAAAGCGCTCAAGCGCGCTCTTTCTGCTGGTCTCCATGGCATCCAGTTAATAGGGACACACTTTCTTCTCTGCACATGGCTTTGCCTGACTCACCAGTTACATTCCCTTGATCCCAAAGCCTGTAATCCACACTTGCCAGGAACAAATCTGTTGGATTGGTGGGTGGACAGCTCTATGCAGTCACAATGGGCATTCTGCCCAGACCTGCCTTACTACACCCATACATGCTTTATTTTTCTATTATTGTCCTCTTGAAATTACAGTTAGATGTTGCTGAAGAATGGGTACTCTCTGAGAAACGAGTCCTTAGGTGACTCAATTATACAAACAATATAGAGTGAATACTTACACACACCTACATACCTAGGTGAATTGGTAAAGCCTATTGCTCCAGGCTTCAAACCTGCATAGCTGCAACTGTGCTAAATCCAGGAAGTTGTATCTCAATTGTAGACACTTACATCTAAACACAGATAGGGCCCATATAGGGCATGGACCAAGTTCTAGATAGCTGGGATTTCTGATTGTTGGGTATCACTCTCAGATACAGTCTATCAGTGACAAAGCCACCACTTTGTGGCACCTCACCATTTAAACATCTCTAATGTTTTTCTTGTACTTCATTTTGTACTTGTCCCCAAAAGATAAATAAGTGGTTAAAATCAAGTCTTAACGTGGACACTGACTTTACCTCTCCCTGTCAGTGAAAATGATATGGTACAAAAGGCTGGTCTGGCTCTGCAGTGTGGTTTGCAGAGCCTTTCTTCTGTGGAAGGCTAGGCTTTGACACGACCCTGGCTCACGCATGTTTCCTTGCCTTCAGACTCAACATTCTTTTACAGGTCTTCTCCATCCTTACACCCTCCCCACCGTGTGTACACTATGGTGCCTTTGAGGATGTCAAAAGATAACCAGGAATCGCTTCTCTCCACCATGGGGAATTCAGGGACTGGACTCAGGTTGTCTTTGTAGCAAACATCTTTACACAGTGAGCTATCCCACCACCCCTACAGGTACATTTCCTCCCTTAGCTATCTAATGACTGTCATACACTCAGCTTCTAACGAGTTCAACATCAGGACCATTCTCAACACAAACTCCCAAAATTCTCCAGTATAGTTTCTCATTCTGTCTATTACAAACTTAGCTTCGGCAAGTCTCTCAAGCTCTCTGCTGACAGACAAGGCTCCAAAAACAGTCCAGCTCAAATGTGCCCATCCTTACCCATCCCCCAATAGGGGCATCGGTCAGACTCTGGAAGGACAAAAGTGAACATCCTGCTCAAAGGAAAAGCACCAAGCTACCTCAGGCTCTCCAATTTTATTACAGGACATGCTGGGGATGGGGGAAGAAAGGCGGGGGGGGGTGACAAGATGGCAGCTGGGGGTGTGCAGAGCCATCTGATGAAGACTCAGAAAGCCCCAGCAATCAGTACTTTCCATAGGACTGCTCAGAGAACCTGGCAGAGCTATTGACACCTGCTCTGTTTAGTCTGATCAGAAGACATGATTTGAAAAGATTTCCTTCCCACCACAGGGGGAAATGAGCCAGGGCACCCCCCAAAACTGAGACATAGCCTTTAGAGTCATGTGGGTTAGGATCAAAACTCTGGTCCTCTGAGTGACCCTGGGAAGTCACTTTGCTTCCCTAAGACTCCAATGTCTTCCTCTGAAAATGGGGGCGATTTTCCAATTCATGGTTTGTTATAAGAAAATGTACGTGATCATCACAGGGCACCCCAGAGACAAGACTCTTGGGAGCCAGAGAGTGTGAGGGGGCTCTCTGGTGATTCCAGGGGCAGGCAGGGGAGAAGGACTTAGGGAAAGTCTACGTTCCTTCCTCCTCTCCACGGTTGAAGTCTGACTCCGGGGAAAGAAATGGCACCCAGGGACCTGGCTGATGTCAAGAAGGCTCTGATGAGACTGAGGTCAAGGCGGTTCTTGGGAGTGTGGGGCACAGGACAGAGCTGGGAAATACTGAGCCTTGACTGTAAAAAGTTGGAAGAGAAGAAAGATGGGCTTATTTTCTCCCCGTGTGCAACTGCGAGGACATCAAGCTGGGTCCATTTGGGATTTCAGACCCAGCCATCATGCGGCTGCTGCTAGGGGAAGCCACTGCCCCCTTCTTTCTCCTCAGCAGAGTTTTAAAAAATATAAACTGTGAGAAAGTTCTTATAAAAACACTTTTCTGTATGCATAAAAAAGACTGGCCATGGTAGAGATGTTCACCAAGTCCCCAAAAGTAGCTAGTGGCCATCCCATGGTAAGGGAGTTGACCAGCAGTACCCTGGGGGCCTAGACAGTGCTGGCAATAAGAAAGGCTGCCCTCTTTGGGGCTACACTTCTGTGGAATAGGGGTCAGGTGGCAGGAACCTATCGCAACCTACTTCACAGTGTGAACTTCTCCAACTCCCCGAACAGGCCTGGGCTGGGGTCATCAGGTCAGTGGGCTGAAGGAGAGCGGTGTGACACTATGGTCTCCACTTCTGTAGAGGGGCTCTGTGCACAGGCTCCAGACAGCTGTCTCCAGCTGACAACCCAGCTGGGGGTACTGTGCACAGAAGGCTACCCAGGGGATGGCCAGCATAGAAGGCTCCAAGCAGGCATAAGGCTGCCAGCCTGGTCCCTTGGGCCAAACTCTTTTGATTCCTTTGGCTTGAAAGGGGAGCCTAGAAAAGAGGAACCGTCTACTTTTCCAGCCCACTCCTTATCCACGCTGAGGTCCTGAACTATGTCACTGTGTGGAAGTTGCAGGGAGGTCTCTCCAGACCCTTTTTGAGGGAACTTGAAGAAGTTCTTGGAACCAGATGAGCTTCTAGTGGTAGCAGGCTTAAGCTGAGTCGCCAGGCAGGCGGGTCCCCTCTTCTCACCACCCTCTGTCAGGCTACATGAAGGTGGCAGCCTCGGTTGACCTTGGACCTCTTTAGGCAGCCTGGAGATGAGGTGGGGACCACTTCCAGTCTGACATGGACTCAGGGTACAGTGGCTCCAAGGTTCATGGATTCTGTCTGCCAGGTTGTCACCAGGTCCAGGATCTCTAGGGACTAGGCACACTAGGGCTGGAGGAGGGGCAGGCCACGCCGGAGTCCCTCCCTCAGGAACTGCATATAGGTAGCTGTGGACGGGTCCTCAAAGGTGGATGAGAAGCTGAAGACATTATTATCCATGTCTTCAGGCTTCATGGAGGTGATGTCCAGGAAGTAGTTGGCGTTGATGTGGTGGACCTAGAGGAAGGACCAGGTGAGAACTGGGGAGGCCACAGGCCACATCTACCCAGGCCAGCTCAGCTTCCACCAGCTTCAGGCTATTGCACTGAGGATGTATCATACTAGAGATGCCCAGGCTGTTCCCTTTTTCATCAGCTCCCGGGGTAGGAACCAGTAACCCAGGCCTTTCCTCCCTGACTCCCTAATACTTCCAAGGACTTTCTCACCTGAACCTAGACCAGCAGAAGCATCAAGCACACTGTGTTTCCTCCCCCATCCAGCCCCAGTTCCTGTTCCTGGCTACCACACACTAACAGGGGGCCAGCACACTCCCCTCCTGTAGACCTGTCCTCCTACTCTGGCAAAACTGAGACCGAAGATGGGGCAGCTGTTCTGAGTGGGAGCCTTACTCTACCAGTCTGAAAATGGATACATTTTCAAAAGATGCTGAGACCTGATGCCAGGCCCTCTAAGCAGCCCACAGAGAGAAGGGGAACCTTGGTTCAGGCTAGGCCCTCTATTCCTCTCTATTCTCCTTCCCTGGCTAAAGTGGTCCAGGGAGCCTTCCCTTGGGCCATGTTTTGTCCACTGAACCGAGAAGGTTCGCTGGGAGACATGTTTGGCTGTGTCGCTGTACTAACAGCCTCGCTGTACCCTCCCCAAAGCACCTCTGAAGTCTGCACAGGATCATTATGCCAGTGACAGAGACCACCTCTCGTGTCCCCTGCTGCTGTCACTGTCACTGGGGACCTACCACTGTGCCGTTGGGCAGGCAGATCATCATCTCCACAGGAAAGCTGTACTTCTCCAAGTGCAGGCCTGCCAGCTGCCTGTGGAGCGGGTTCTCCTGCTGGACCTGTGGAGACAGTGAGACTTCCTGGTATCTGGGCTCAGTGCTGTCTTGGCGATTCCCACAAGCTGCTCCCCCGGTCCCTTGCTCACCTGCAGGTCTTCCAGCTCCTTCACCAGGGACCAGGTACTGATGAAGCTCTCATTGAGGAGAGTGAGTATGGGCGGGCTTTCCAGGACAGTCTCCCGGAGAGTCCGCCCGGAACCTGTTCAGGGCAAGACCAAGGGTGAGTAGCCCTGTTTATACAGCCGTGACCTCAGCTTAGGTAAATTCTGTGGGGTTTCATGGGGTGTGTCTCCATACCTAGGTGATGTAACAGGTTGAAAGAGATAGAAGGCAGGAGTGGTGGCACACACCTGTATCCTAGCACTCAGGAGGCTAAGGCAGGAGGGTTACCACAAATTCAGGGACAGCCTGGGCTGCATGATGAGTAAGTTATAGGCTAGCTGGGCTACAGACTGAGAGCCTGTCTCAAGAAATGAAAAGCCAAGGACAGACTCAAGGAGTAGACACTGAATGAAGGAGGTGGTGGGGTCACTATGGACGTACTGGCATGCTGAGCTGAGGTTCGGGTGGCCCAGAGCCTGCTCACAGTGACTGATTCTCTTTTTCCTTTTCTATTTTTAAAAAGACTTATTTTTTATGTGCACTGGTGTTTCCTCTGCATGTATGGCGGTATGAGGACATCAGATCCCTGCAACTGGGAATAATAGACAGTTGTGAGCGTCCATGTAGGAGGTGGGAATTGAACTCAGGTCCTCTGAAAGGGCAGCCAATGCTCTTAACCACTGAGCCATCTCTCCAGTCCCAGTGACAGATTCTTTTTTTTTTTTTTTTTTTTTTTTTTGTTTCGAGACAGGGTTTCTCTGTGTAGCCCTGGCTGTCCTGGAACTCACTCTGTAGACCAGGCTGGCCTCGAACTCAGAAATCCGCCTGCCTTTGCCTCCCAAGTGCTGGGATCAAAGGTGTGCGCCACCACCGACTGGCTCCAGTGACAGATTCTTAATCCCACTTAGTTGTCTGTCTCTAGGGCCTTTACACAGGTGCTTTCCACTCAAACCCTCTTCCTCCTGTCATGTGACACACCCCTATGCCACCTCTCAAAGTCTCAGTTTAAATGTCACTTTCTCCAAGAAGCCTCCTGGCTTCCGCAGCCTCATGTCTGTTATCCCACTTTGCCTTGCACCCACTCCCTGCCCCCGGGTTACCTGCCCTGCATCTGTGTCTACACCACACTGGGATAATGCATAGCTATGTCAGGTACCCATAATGTTGGCCGGGTGACAAGATGAGGGCGGGGCATTATTTATCTCAGCATTGAACTCACTATTGGACACCCAGAGAACTTTCCAGAAGCTCTTTGGTGAACATTCCAGATAAGAAACGCAAGCCCAGCTTCTGGAACTGTTTCCTCTCTCATGTGTAGATTTTACTTTACAGAGTACAAGATATGTTGACACCCAATGCCAGGACTGGTATGCTCTGCCCATTTCATGGTTGAGAAACCTGAGACTCAGGGCAAGGTTCACTAAAATGGCCAAGCATGAACACATCTGCCTGGCCTTTTCCCTACACTTTGCATTGTCTTCTAGGCTCACCCATGTACTGCAAGTGTCCCTGGAACCTCAGTGGCCCAAGTCCTCATGGCTCCCACTCCTATTTGCCCCAGAGCCTCTTGTGACCCACCCATAGGGTATGAAATTTCCCACCTCCCCTTAGAGCTCCCCTTAGAGCTCACCTCAGCAGGACTGGTCGTCCAGGGCTCCCCACAGCAAGATGGAATGAACGAGTTTGTTCTCAGCCTTGGCTCTGTCAAAGGCCTCCGTGAACGGCAGGTAGTTGACCTGGGGTCAAGCCAAGAGAAAAGCTACTGAGTGGCTGGGGTCCTGTTTGTGGTTGTGCCAGGAAAGTATGCATATGTGTGTGTGTGTGTATGTGTGTGTGTGTATGTGTGTGTATGTGTGTATGTGTATGTATGTGTATGTATGTATGTATGTATGTATGTGTATGTGTGTGTATGTATGTGTGTATGTGTGTATGTGTGTATGTATGTGTGTATGTATGTGTGTATGTATGTGTGTGTGTGTATGTATGTATGTGTGTGTATGTGTGTATGTATGTGTGTATGTATGTGTGTATGTATGTGTGTGTGTGTGTGTATGTATGTGTGTGTATGTGTATGTGTGTATGTGTGTGTGTATGTGTGGAAAGCTGCGGCTTGTGCTGACAGCATTCGCCATTACAAGATGACGCTGGCATCCGGTGTTCCTCCAAGTAAACAAGTAAACCGAGCATGTGCTATGGTAAAAAGGCATCAAGTCACAGCCCATCCCGGGGCGTTTTGGCGGGTAACGAGTAAGCAGCCAATCAGAAGTGAACATGCCGCCCCAAGGGTATATAAACAGTGCCTCTTCCGGGCCCGCTCTCTTTCCTCCTTTTCATTGGAATAAACGTTTGCTGCGGAAGGATCCTGGTGTGTTGCCGTGTCTTCCTTGCTGGCGAGGTGGGCACGCGTCACATGTATGTATGTGTGTATGTGTGTGTATATGTATGTGTGTGTATGTGTATGTATGTATGTATGTGTGTGTATGTATGTATGTATGTATGTGTATGCATGTATGTGTGTGTACGTATGTATGTGTGTGTATGTATGTATGTGTGTGTATGTGTGT